GGTTAAGGTCTAAGGTAGCTAGTGCTATATAGTTCTTCTAAAGCTGTATACCTATTATCTCTAGGGCCTCTATGTGCTTTAGCTATTGCCTATATATAAAGAGGATATACTTAATAGTAGAGGTAAGGTCTGTATAGCCCCTTCTCTTCTTAGCTACCTATTTCTTATACATAGGCAGATCTAGATAGGCCTAGAGAGAGGTAAGAAAGGTGCTGTATTCTTTTTCTAAAAGTGCTCTATTTAGCTCTATTTACTCTACTCTTTTGCGTAGCTAGTTATTATATAGTATAATGTTAACTATACTAGAATCTATAGTAGAGTAGATAAACTAGGTTTATTCTAGTATAAAGAGCTGCTTAGACTACCCTTACTTCTTTATAGGTAGGTTATAGAGTAGAGTTAGCTTATTAAAGTTATACTATATAGTAATAAATATAAGCTTAGAAGCCTAGGGGTAGAAGAAGGCCTTAAACTTAGAGAGTTAGCTAGGCTCTAGTTTATAGTTTCTAAACTAGTATTTAATAATCTACTAGAAACTAATATAGAGTAAGTAGAAGAAGAGGCCTTTTATATACTAAAACTAGCTAGGCTTCTAGATAAAGAGAGAGTAGATATAGTTCTACTATAGGCTAGAGCTATACTAAAAGAACTACTAAGCCTTACCTATTTATAACTAGATAGCTACTATATATATTAGCAACGTAGAGGCAAAGACAGAGGTAATCTAGCTATAGCCTAGGTAAATAAATCTATCTACTAGGTTCTTACTACCTCTAGTGTAGGTAATAAAGCTTTTAAAGTTACTAGAGAAGAAGCGTAGTAAGGCTAACCTAGAGGTAATACAGACGTAGTTCTTCTATTACTTCTATAGGACTATTTATATCTACTAGTTATATTTCTTAACGTAAGCTTCTGTAGTAGCTTAGTAGATCTTATACTATAGAGAAGTATTGCGTAGGTTACCCTTCTAGGCAAGACTATTAATATACTAACCTAGTACCTAGAATTAAAGGTTAAGGTTAGAGCTAGCCTTAAAGAAAATATTCTTCTATTAAAATATATCTTATAGGCTAGTATTACTAACAGCTAGTAGCTGCTATAGGTATAGGTAAATCTATAGTAAGCTAGTTTAGCTAGTAAGAAGTAGCTTATAGCTAGAGGTACTATAGAGCAGTAGCTATATTATACTATACTACTTAATAACCTGCTTTATATTAAGGCCTTTCTTAAGCTTCTTAGTATTCTGCCTACTAAACTACTCTTACTACCTCTTCTTCTTCCTCTACTTTCTAGAAACGCTCTACTATATACTTCTATCTATAGTATAGTATCCTAGACTAGCGTTAAGAAGATATAGTATAGCTAAGGTAAAAGCACTATATTAGTTCTTATCTATGTCTAGTATACTAGATGCCTTAGAGCCTAGCGTATACTTAGTAGTTACCTTAATAATAGACTCTAGGTAAGCTAGCTAGTAATTTATATCTACTATCTAGAAGTAATTAAGCTCCTCTATATTAAGAATCTAGAAGAAAAGGTAGGCTGTTAGTATTAGGTTTCTTTCTTCTACTATACCTTACTTACTTCTATACTAGTCTTCTAGCCTAGCTTCTCTCTACTTTTACTCTACGTCTACCTCTTAGTATAGGCCTAGGCTATTTAAGGGCACTGTTAGTAGTGCTATACTATAGATATAGGCTGTAAATAACTTATAAGTAATATAGTACTCTTTCTATACGCTATAAGAGTACCTAGCTTAGCTAAATCTAAAGAGTATACTCTAGACTTAGCACTTTATACTTTTATATATAGATACTAGGCACTAAAGGCTTACTCTATCTATATAGTTCTTCTCTATACCCTATTAATACTACTCTTACAGCCTAGAGTTAGAGAGGCTAAGTTCTTCTAGAGCCTATTTTCTAAAGGAGAGGTAGTTCTTAATAGGTACTATAAACTACTCCTTATTAATATTATAGGCCTTAATATCTACTATTCTACCTATATATAGGTTAGACTGCTTATATAGCTTAATAGTAAGAGCGCCTATATTCTATAACTCTCTTATAGAATAGGTAGTAGCGTAGTTTTTAGGCTACTCTAGCTTCTATAGGCTATTTCTAACTTACTTATAGAAATAGGCTAGCTTTTCTAAAATAGTATAGCTAGGCTAGCTAGTAATTACCTCTTAAGTAAGATCTATCTAGTAGTAGCACTAATCTACGTAGCCTAGGCGCTCTATATAGAATATAGTATTTATTATCTAGTTAAATGCGTAGAAGGTCTACAGCTGTAATATAGAGTAGGTACCTTAAAGCTTAATATTATAGGCCTAGATAATAAGCTACAGCTTATAAAAGATATTCCCCTAGCTATTATAGGTACCTATAATAGTAGAGTAGTACTGCTAGATATTTACCTAGAGCCTATCTAGGTCCTTCTCTGTAATTAGGTTAGCTAATATAATACTAGTAGTATTACCTACTCCTTACTCTATCTCTACCTTAATATATACTCTTATACGTGTATTTTAGAAGCTAGTAAAATAGTACTATATAATATTTATTCTTACCTCTTTATATAGGGCTAGATAGATAGCCTAGTTAAATAGTCTTTCTAGTAACTTATTATCTAGGTAGCTAACAGCGTCTTAGTAGCTCTTGCCCTTAATAAATAGGTAGTAGAGAAAGAATAGGTAGGTAGTAAAGTTATAGCTAGCTAAAAAGACACTATATCTAAGCGTAATATACTTTATATAGTATATAAGGGCCTCTTAGTTAGCTATCTTTACCTTTTAATCTTGTTAGATAGACTGCAGGTAGTTTAGACACTAATATATATAGAAAGCTATCTAGTAGATAGCAAGGCTTCTTATTCTAAAAGTTACGCTGTCTATATTAAACTACTACTTAAGAGCGCCCCCCTATACTGTAAGTTACTAGGGAGCCTAGGATACCTACTTTAACTTCTCTAGGCTTAGTTTTAGTAGTGCCTATTTAGGGCTAAGTATTTTACAGCTAGTAAGTAGCTTATTCTACTAGATCTACTTAGAGAGCTAGAAAGGTAAAGACTAGCTTAATTACGTAGTTTTATTAAATAGGAAGAATCTAGCTAGAGTAGCTATAGGTATATTATTCTTGTCTTTTAGCTTTACTAGGATTAGGCTCTTAATTTACTTGCTAACCTATACTAGTATTTATACCCCTAGTGTATTAGTAGTAATGTTTAGCTAGCTGCTTACTATATAAATATATAAGTATAGAGCTAGGAAGAAGGTAGTACAGAAACTTACTATATATATAATAATAGAATAAGAATATAGTACTAAAAGTATCTATTACTTCTCTTTACCTAGGAGGTAGCTCTCTTTTATTAAGTAGACTAGTAAGCTAACTTATTCTACTTAGGATTTCTACGCTATCTGCTAAAGGGGGGTATAGGCTAGAGCTATTACTATTACCTAGGCTACTCTCTACCTTCTTTACTATAGGCAGATCTAGCTATCTGTTATCTAGGTAGCCTATATTAAATTCTTCTGCTTTTGTATTAGGCTTAAATATATATAGGCCTAGCTCTTCTATATCTATAGGGTCTAGTGCAGCTAGCGTAGGCGTTAAATATAGTAAATTTAGCTATTCTTCTTTAGGCAGCGTTATATATGCTCCTTCTATTAGGTATACTTTATATATAGGCGTATTAGAGGTATAGCTTTCTAGGAATAGGCCTAAAGAAAAGAAAGATTTATCTTACTAGTTACTAAGAAGGCTATTCTTACGCTATAGCACTTAGAGCGGTAGTAATAATAGTAGTATAGGAGGAGTAAAGCTAGGTAGAATCTAGGACCTAAATATAAGATTTCTCTTTCTTCTTTTATAGTAATTCTAGCTGCGTATAGCTTAATATCTTATGTATATTAAGTTTTCTAAACTATCCTCTGCCTTTCTTTTAGAAGAAGGTATAGTAATAGTAACTCTAGTTAAATAGTTAAATAATAGTAAAAATAGTGTAGAGCTAGGGGGTATAAGTTAGTAGAAAGAAGATAAGTAAGATAGTGTAAGAAAAGAGTATAGAAGAAATAGTTTATATAGTAGATAGGAATTATCTACTTCTTCTATTATGCCTATTAAGTAAGCTCTTAGTACCTACTTTATAGTTTATTATAGTTACTAGTAAAGTAAAGTGTAGGCTCTTAGAGTAGATATAGTATTAGAAATTAATAAGAACTAGGATATATATTATAGATACTCTAAGCGCTAATATTATTCTCTAATACTAAACTCTAGACTATCTTCTAAATAATTTTCTAGTAGTTCTTTATAATAATTTCTATAAAGGTTCTTATTAAGACTCTTTAGAGGGCCTCTTTCTAGACGCTCTAGAAGACCTATAGAAAGAGGCCCTAAAAGACCTATAAAAAGAGTCTCTTAGGCTATTAAAAGAGTATCTTCTGTTAGATTCTATAGAAGGCTCCTTAGGTCTTTTTATAGAAGTAAGAGGCTCCTCTAGCTTACTAGCTAACTCCTTTAGCTTACTAGCTAACTTCTTTAGCTTACTAGCTAACTCTTTTAGCTTACTAGCTAACTCCTCTAGCTTACTAACTAACTTCTCTAGCTTACTAGCTAACTCTTTTAGCTTACTAGCTAACTCTTTTAGCTTACTAGTAGGCTCTTCTAGCTTACTAGTAGGCTTTTCCTATATAATCTAGATAGTTTTAATCTTTTTATCTAGGTTACTAGCCGCTATTACACTAAAGCCCTTCTAGGCTATATACTTATCTTATAGTAAGTATACGTATACAAACGTAAGCTTTAAGCCCCTATTACCTCTAAGTAAGAACTTATTAACACTTTTTTTTATTACCTTAGATAGGCTATATAAGAATAGATATAGTTCTATAAAAGAGACTATAATTAGCTTTCTATAGCCTAGAGTACTAAAGTAGGAACTAAGAGTTTTTCTAAGCTTAGAGAAGCTAAGGTAGGTAGTAAGTATAAGAATAATTAGGTAATAGCCCTGCTATAATAGCTAAGACTAGAAGTAGGCTTCTTAGATATACTTTTAAAACTAGCCTAGGGCTTTATAGTAGGTAGAGCCCTTATTATAGTTACCTAGGCTATACTTTTACTTTATATAACGTACCTTAGCTATATTATAGTTAGAGTTACTAGGTTACTAAGGCCCTATATCCTTTATACTTTGTTCTGTAAAATCCTAGAGAGTTATTTCTATCTTAACTAGCTTTATATAGGTAATAAAGGTTTAGAAGTGTACCTAGGCTATACTCTTATTAACTACGCTAGTAATATAGTTAAGGTAGGTATAGAACTTATCTAACGCTTTAGAAGAACTAGGAGAAGAAGAAGCTTTATCCTACTTTCTTTATAAGGCTTATATATAGCTTCTAGAGTTCTTATAGGCGTAGTCTTATATATATAAGATCTGCTGTAGAGCCTATAAAGTAATAAGGCTACGTAGCTAGGCTTATACTTTCTTTATAGGATCTAGCAGCTTTATATATATAGGTAGTAGTAGTAAATTACTAAAACTACTAGAGCTTAACCCTACTTATAATTCTAGCTAGCCTTAGTTTTACCTAGGATAGGTAGTATTAGAGGAATCTATATACTAACGCTTCCTAGTAAGTATCTCTGCCTTAACTATAGTAACCTTAGCAGTAACTTCTATAACCTTAGTAGTAACCTCTATAACCTCTTTCTTCTCTTCTTCTTCTTCCTTAATAGTAGCTACTTCTGTAGCTACTTTTATAGCTACTTCTTTCTTTACTTCTTCCTTTACTATAGCTACTTCTGTAATAACTTCTACAGCTACTTCTTTCTTAACTATAGCTACTTCTATAGTTACTTTAGCCTTAGCTTCTTTCTTAACTATAATAACTTCCTACTTAATAGTAGTAACTTCTTAACTATCTTTTTTCTCTATAGTAGAGATATTTACTACTGTATTTTTTTCTTTTTTTTCTTTTTTTTCTTCTTTCTCTTCTTTTTTTTCTCTTACTACTTTTTCTTCTTATTATATAGTAGTTTTATCTAGAATAGTAGTTATTACTTTAAAGAGCTACTTTTCTAATCTCTTTTCTTTTAGCTCTTCTATCTCCTTTCTCTACTCTTTTATTTCCTTTCTCTACTCTTCTATCTTTTCTTTCTACTTTTTTGCCTACTCTTTTACCTACTCTACCTACTCCTCTATCTTCTCTTTTTCTACTTCTAATTTTAGGAGTAGTATATATTTTATAATTTAACTTTATCTTATTACTATAACAGCCTTATTATTATTTTTACTTTTTATATTAGTATTCTTATTACTACTTTCCTTGCTAGCTTTTTCTTTTATAGGCATCTTTAAATTTATTTTAATAATAACTCTTACTATACTATACTAGAGGGTAGTAGGCAGCTACTTATTATTAAATACTAAGGAGGCACTTATAATCTTAACTAATTTACCTACATTAGATATAGTCTAGTAGGGGCAAGGTAAGCTTCTATATCTAAAGTTATTAACTATTACTACCTTACTAGGGTAGATTAGCCTTAGTAGAGTTTTAGGAGAAGTAACTTAGTTATTAAGGAATACTTCTTCTAGAAGGTATTACTTTAGAGTAAAAAGAAGCTTATTAAGCTAGCTGTATTAGTAAATCTACTATAGTGCTAGTTCTAGATTATAGGCTATAAACAGTTAGTTACTATAGGCTAGTAAAGAAAGGCTATAGTATTTTACTAGCTTAGTAAAGTAGAACTAGTATATTATAAACTTAGTATTATATTATTTATCTAAGTAGAGAGAAGTATAGGTAAAGTAGCTAATATAGTTCTAATTAACTTTATAAGAAGTTATAACTAGGCTACAAAGCTAGGTTAAAGAAGTTATAGTAAAAGGTATAGATAGATAGAGAGTAAGTAGAAGTTATAGTAGACTATTAATTTTATTAGAAAAAGGTAGGTTATTAAGAGAATCTAGAATTTAGGTAGAAGTAGAGCTGTAGCTCTATTTAATAAGTAAGGTAATATAACGTGTTATCTTCTTATCTTACTTACTAAGAAATTAATAGAAGAAATATACTACTTTAAACCTAAAGTAGTTAGTATTTTATATATAGTTTTAAAGAAGGTTAGAAGAAGGCGTAGATTACTAGTGTCTTACTAAATAATGTTATATTACTCTTATTACTTTAAAGTAGCTAGAAAGAAGTTAAAGCTAGGAAATAATATATAGCCTATATAGGTTTAGATAGGCTAATTAGCTGTATAAATTCTATTATAAGGTGTATAGATATTAGCTCTATTTATATAATTTTTTAAAGAGATTTCTATTCTTATACTAGTATATAATATATACTTATAATAAGAGAAGCCTACGCTAGAGTAGCTATAGAATTCTATTATATATCTTCCTAAATTAAGGCGCCTATTTTATAAGATATAGAAATCTAGTAACCTTTTTAAGAAAGAACTTCTGTAGGCTTAGGAGTAGTAGAAGCCTTCTTATTATCTCTACCTTAGGGTTGTTTATTATAGCTGTTATAGAAATAGCCCTAAGAGGACTTTACTTTTTAAACTAAGATTCTAGCTTAAGAAAAAGCTCTAGAGTAGCCTAAATATAAGAGTAATAGCTATAATAATAAATAAAATGCTATAGTAAATCCTTCTCTTTAATAATAGTACTATTAAGAAATAAGGTTATAACTCTATATAGATTAAGAGCTACCTTATTAAAGGCTTTTTATTATTTTTTATTTAGTTTATATATAAAGCTAATAGTATAGACTACTCTCTAGGTATTTATATATTAACGTATCTATGCATTGCTACTAGAGTAGGCATACTTAACGTTATTCTAAAGGGTATACGTAGGTAGATTAGCTTTAGAGCTTTCTCTTATTAAGATTACTCTTTTTAAGATAGAAAGGAAGCTAGTAACCTCTCTTATCTATAAGTTTACTACTACACTAATTTTTATCTATATCTATCTTATAATATTAAATACGTGTATAGCTTACTAGCCTACCTTAGGAAGTAGTTCTAGAGAGCTAAACGTAGTACTACGTATATAATTATTTATAATTAACTCTAAATACCTTAACTACTTAAAAAGAGTAGAAAGAAAGGCCTATATAGCTACAGCCTTATTATTATCTTTAAATACTATAGTAGTTTAATAGATTTAGGATAGGCCTAGGCACTAGAAGTAAAGAATAGCTAGGATAAGGTTACTAAATATAAAGGAGTTTATTCTTATAGAAAAGTTATACTAGAAGAGTCTTATAATCCTTAGAGTATCTTAGTCTATAAGGAATTTAGTTATACTTATATAGAGAGATTTCTAAGCGTATAGTCTATCCTTTAGTAAATGCTATAGCCTAGTAGCTGTTAAGTAAGTAATCTTCTAGATAGGAAGAATAACCTTAAATATATAGGCCTTATAGCTATTTATACTGTCTAGGCTATTATATCTATCTAGGAGATATTTCTAAGTTTCTTAGTACAGCTTATGTATAAGATAGTGTATTACTAGTATCTATACACTCTTGTGTCCTAGCAAGTCTATACTACCTATAAATATAAGATTAACCTCTAATTAAATAAAAGTAATCTTTTCCTATAATAGTATATTAGTAAATACTCTAAAGAAATAGTAGATAGCTAACTAACTACTTATAGTGTATATATTAGGATACTTTACTAATTGCAAAGATAGCTTAGAGCTAAACTAGTTATTAGCTAGATATAGAATAGAGCTAAGATTTAAAAAAGGTAATCTTTACCTAGGTAAACTATAACTGCTTCTAAGATCTAGCGTAAATCTTATAGGCGTTTAAGGAGAAATATATACTTAGGAAGGAACTAGCTTTAGTAGGCTTAAAGGAGCCTTATAACTTTTATTTATCTAGGCTTATTCTTAAGAAGGTATACCTAACTATAGAGTTATAGTTATTTACCTCCTTTAGGTTAGAGTATAACGTTTCTAAGAAGTAGAATAATTTCTAGCTTAGAACTATTTTTTGTGTTAGGCTAGTAGAGTCCTAGAAGGCCTATAGCTTAGTATTTATTATATTAGTAGAGGTATATATTACTAATCTTTATAAGTTAAACTAAGAGAGCTTATTTAAAGTGCAGTAGTTATAGAGGAAGGTTTCTGTTTATAAGGACTTAAAAAAGCTACTAGTAAAGATTTAGGTTAGCTGCTCTTATACTAAAGTTATAATTATAGAATTCCTTATTCTATATATTATTATCTTTTATAGTTATCCTTAGTTATAGGGATAGAAGAATTAGTATCTTTATCTATACTATTACTCTAGTATATAAGATTAATATTAATATTAGACTCTTTTAGTTAAGACTAATTAGAGCCTAAGTAGTTACTAGAGAAATTGTTATCTAACTAGTCTAAAAAGAGAGAGCCCTCTTAAAAAGAATAAAGAGTTAAGGATAAGAGAAGCTAGGTCTAGAAGATAATAGTAAGTAACTAGTATAAAACTTAGGGCTAGACTAACCTTTTAACTTTATAGAGTAACACTATTTATACTTCTAAAGAAATCTGCTATTAATATAGAGTAGCGTAAAGATAAAGTAAGGAGAGAAGCTTTCTCTATAATAGTAAATAGAGACAGGTTAGCTATAGTTAAAATAGTAATAATAAGGAAAATAAAAAGAGAACACAGAAAGTTAAATAAACTTATTATATATAGGTATAGTCTACTAAGTAATACTTATATTAGTAAATTAGCTTTTAATTATTTGCTTTAGTTTATTTATTATAGTTTACAAAATAAACAAAGAATATTAATAAATAGATATAAGTTAAAAGACAAGTTATAATAGTTAAGAAAGAAATACTACTATATAACTATATTACTGTTAATTATAGACTTATAATATATAGTTAAAGATAAGAAGATTGTAATCTAGGCTTTTAGAGTATTATAAGTAATATTTAAAGTTAATTAATAATTAATAAACTATTATATTTTAATCTTCTAGTTTAGAGGTTAGTATAAAATAATCCTACTAGAGCTTTATCTAATATAGTTATTATATTATATAAAGAATAATATTTAAAGAAGTAACTTTAAGGTTATCTTATATTCTTTAAAATCTATATAGATCTAGATATTAATACTCTTATAAAACTAGTAATATTTTAATAAAGATATTATAAAAGAAGTTAGACTAAGTTATAGGTAAATAAAACAGTTTAATATACTATTTAGGAAGTACATAGGTTTGTTTAGATAGGTAGATAATATATAAGATTAAGTAATTATATAGTTAGTGTATAGTTACTAGAAACACTTACTAGTAACTA